TCATAGAGCCCAGCCTCTCGGATAATCTGCTCTGCATACAGGTTGAAAAGGTATGGAGATAGGATGCATCCCTGGCATACGCCCTTCCCAATTTTGAATCATGCAGTGTTCCCTTGCTCTGTTCTGACGACTACCCCCCAGTCCAAGTATAAGGTTTCTCATTAGCACAATCAAGTGTGCTGGGATTCCCATTTTTCTCACAGTCAGCCACAGTTTCTTATGATCCACACAGGCAAACGCAATCAATGAAACACAGACTTTCTTCTGGTATTCACTGCTTTCAGCTAAGATCCATCTACTATCAGCTACAATATCCCTAGTACCACGACCCCTTCTAAACCCACCCTGGACTTCTGGCAGTTCTCTGCTGATGTACTGTTCCAGTCGTTTCTGTATCATGACTAACATAGTTTGTATTATAAAGGCATACTACTGGTACAGTGGCTAAAGCACTCTGCTGCTAAGAGTCAGTGGTTCACCCTCACCAGCAGTCCCACAGATGAGAAATATAGCAGTCTGCTCCCATTAATAGTATAGCCCAGCCCTGGAACCCATATAGAGCAGTTCTACTCTGTCTTGTAGGGTTACTACAAACTGGAATCATCTCACTAACAATGGATTTGATTTTCTGTTTGCTCCCTGTTTTCCTATTATATTCTTCGCTTAAAGAGGTATATAATACTAGTTAAGATTCAAACAAGCTCCTCTGTAAGAAAACTGTTCAGTTCAGCATCTGGTCATTCATTTTCACTGACTACTAAACAGATTAGGGAGCTCTAGTGGCCTAGTGGTAAGAAGCTGTGCCACAATCCTGGAGGCATGTGGTCAGAATTCAAGAGGAGCTCGGAGAGAAGGATGGGACATCTCCTGTGTGGCTTATTGCCTCTGAAGACCTGTTAAGAGGGTCATCTAGAAGTCAGTCCTAACTCAGTGTAGCACAACAATAACAGATTTGGCTTTTTAGTATAAGTATAAAATTAAATATAATTTTAATTGAAATGCAAATACAATCTCAAATAACATGATGTGCTTTCTTAAAAAGAATTTAGAAGAAATAATCACTAACTTTTTATATACTCATGGCATTTCTCTGCAAGGATTATGTACTTAAAAGTACATAAAATCTTGGTGTGTTTTCTAGAAATACCATTCTATAGCCTAAAACAGACTGCTTAGAGCAATTTCTACAAATGGTTTATTACTTAATCATAACCACATGTTAACATGGTAAGAATATATCTAAAAAGATTCGAGCTTCATTATTGACAATACTGATGAAAGCCACTGATATTGAGGCTATATATAATTAGTAATCAATCCCTGAACTACATGTAACCAAGAGCTAATTTTGCCTAGGAATGTTAAGGATTTAACTTAATAATACATATACAAATTTCACCTAGACACATGTTTGTTTTTTTTTAAAGACAACTCAGAAATCATTATAAAAGAACTTACTGCAAATCTGAAATATTTTCCTAATTTTTTCCCCTATTACAACTCTTTTTAAATTTTATTAACTTTTTTTAATGTCAGTTTTCATAGTAGCATGCTTATCAAATTAATAGCAGAACTAAGTATATCTAGTACTATCAGGTAGGGTAGGTTACTCAAAAGACTGGTGGAGGGGCAGGCAGAAATATGGTATACATACATATATAAGCTCTTATTATAGAAAAATGTTACTCCAATGGGGTAGAATCTTAATTATATGTTAATTTGAAAAGACTATCAAAGAAGAATATCAAAATTACCCTGGAAAGTAAATGGACAAGTCTGAAAGATGATTTTATGACGCTCATCATTGCTTTGATAGGTCCTAAAATTATCTGAACACACTTTTATTAAAACAACAATCTGAAACAAGAGGGCATTGCAAAATGGACTAGGGGAGGGAGAAACATATGCAACAATGAATAAATGAAAACCCAACCTTTCTGTAAACTTCTGTCAAAAAGAAAAAAAATTGAGAATAAACTTTAAAAAACAAACAAAAAAAACACCCATAAATGCAAAAAAGAAATGAGAAACCAGTTTCTTACCTTCCAAAAAGACTATCATGAACAACATAGACAGAACAAACACTGAGGTCTATTAATCCTTTTGGTTTTGTAGCTCGCTTTTCACTTTCAAAATAAATAAGTTGAGCATCACTGCCCTCTAAGATAAAATATAAATTTTTCCACCGCTTTCCTTTGCCTATTAAGAAAAAATTAAGCATTAAATTCTGGCTATCTATATAAGAATCATAAGATTATTTTTGCTGAAAGTAAACATTAAAATGCATTTTTTACTCCAAAGTTTAAGCAATATAAAATCTTTATATTATGGAGAAAGAGTGTCTTTCTGTAGAAAAATGTCTGCTGTATAATATTATGATACTGAATTACAGGTAAAATGATGAAAGCTCTTTAACAGTCTTCAGAGACAGACCACACAATTATGAAATGTTTATAATTATTGTTTACAGTAATACTTCCTAATATTATGAATAAAAAATTCTTCTATTAACCTTATCCTACTCTTTATGTCTTAATATCAAACTGAGGAAGTATAACTGGCCAGGAATCATGAAGAATTCATTTTTCAAACGTATTCTGGGGAGATCATTTGTCCTGTATTGGAATTGATATATAAGGGAATACATAAAATGTTCCTTAAAACCTGACAGGAAGTGCCAAACTTCTTATGTACCTAGATTCAAGACTTTCAAAGATTTTAAATGAAGTTCTAAACAAGTGTTGTTTGCAAATAATTCATATCAAAACAACTTACTAATTACATACTATAACAAGTTCATGATTACTATTTACAGTTCTTTAATCAAACATATGAATTATAAACAACTAAACTTTAATCCTTAGTCATAAAAGTTAACACTCACTCTTTTTTAGAAGATAACCTTTTTTAACAATATTTTTATAAAAGGCATCCTTTGTTTTACGACGAATTGTATTATAGATCTCCTTGCCATCTACTGCATCACTGAGCACTTGTTCTTGATCCTGAGTTTACAGGGGGGAAAAAAGTTAAAATTATTTCATTAATTTTTGATGGGAGGAAAAATCCTAGCTTTCATTTGAAAAATAGATTGTTATGTCTGTTTAGACATTACACACAAGAGTTTTAATTCTAAAATCTAAACACATATTAAGGTATCTTTTGCTTTACAGAGAAGTTCCCAGAAAGGCTGCTTTGCCATGTCTGAAAAACATGTACTAGAAATAAGCTGTTTATACAACAGTATTCTTTTATTATACAGTAAATGTTGTTTACAAAACAAGAATTTGTCCCATTATAACTGATACATTATACAAATTGATGTTTGTACGTAAGCACATCTGTGAGAAACAGCAGGTGAATGCAGAAAACAGTATCGAACTGAACAAATATATCTAATAATATTTAAAAACACAATCCTCAAACATCGAAGACATCCCTCAGCTCACCAAATATATGCCACACCCATCCACCCACATGGGGTGGTATAACTTTCCATCTAACTCCATATTAACCTCACCATTTCACAAGAATTTATAAGTAGCAGCCCTTCAGAGGCCCACTTCCACAGGTAAGCATCAGGATATAATGCCATATGTAGTATTTATGCATTTCCAGCATTTAAAATGTAGAAAATGCACATTTTTGTACTAGGCTCCCATCTTTTTTGTGTGTATGGTGTCACTAATGTTTTTTGTTGTGTCCCTAGCTTCATTTTTCCCAAACCATGGTTTATACTGCACGATCTGCTTAACATGCTGACTTTTAGTAATATCCAAGACACACTATCATAGAAATAACAGTAATAGTTAAATTTTCAAATTAAAAAAATTATTTCTCAAAAATATTAAGTGGGAGCTTTGGGGGCCTAGTAGTAAGAAGCTGCACTGCAATCTCAAAGACACACAGTTTGAATTTGCAAGCTGTTCCACAGGAGGATGGGCAATCTCTTCCTGTGTGATTACCTGCCTCTTGAACACTCTTCAGAGGGGCATCAAGGCCTACTGGACTCAGTATTACTTTACAGTGTTTTCTTTGAATGTTGTTATTAGGTAACATCAAGTCAATTACAACTCACAGTAACCCTATGAACAATGGACCTGAACTTTGTCCTACCCTATGCCATCCTCACAATTTCTGACATACTCAGCCCCTTGTTATAGGCCCTGTGTCAATCTATCTCATTAAGGGTCTTCCTCTTTATCTGAACCATCACTTTTCCCAACATAAAGTTTGTTTTCAAGGACAAATACCACCTGAAAACATGCCTCAAATGAGATGGATATGCACTACTCTTCTCTAACTCCACAACTTAAAAGGCTTTGATTCTTGTTCTGTCATCCTAATTCACTGTTCATCTCTCAGATGCACAGCAGATGATTAGAAAGGCTGTCTTAAATGAGGCACACTTTAGTTTTTAAACTGACATCATTGCTTCTCAGGATGTAAGAGGTCACTGGCAGCAGACTTTTCCACCCAAGGGTATTGACTGAGGGTCCAAGTGAGATGAAATCACTGACAATTTCAGTCTTTTCTCCATCTATCAGGACACTGCCTATTGGCCCAATGGTAAAGATTTTTTGACCTTTAACACATTGCCACACACTTTCATGCTTAGAAACACATTTTCTTCAATGTATTATCGTTATTTGCAGCAACATCTTAATATCAGGCACTACCACTTGGCAATGCTCCCCATTCTACTATGGTCACTCTGTTTTTTGGGTTGGTCACTCTTTTTTATTACTAGCTTTCCCCAGAGTATACATACAAGCTTGAAACTCTCTCATGGTAAAACTACAGCTCAATAAGTAAAGAACCAACAAGAAGCTTTTATGTCTTTTGAACCTAAATCCTCTTTTACCTATGATTATTTCTTTTTCTTGTCTTTACTTATCAAGCTTACCCAGGGATAAACCCAGCTGTGCCTCATCTTTGCTGTCTCCACTTTTACTTCAAAAACACTCATTCTTGACTCAGTACAACTTGTCCTCTGCTCTTATCACTGCTTCTATCCTCAAAAAGTTGCTAAATGCTTTCTAATTAATTAGCACAGTTCTCTTGCTGAAACAATCTGAATTTGCAGGTTCAAACAGATCCAGTTCTAACTGCACTAATGCATGCATAAACATACCACCAAAATGAATTTTAAAATAAAATACTAACTATAGTAAAAATAACACTGACCTGCATTGGTACTGGTTCCTTAAGATAATATCCTTCAACGATTTGTTCTTTTTTATAGTGATCTATGATGTCTCCAATGCTGTTAAAGGAAGGTAAGTATTGGCATAATTTGTCTCATTAAAAAAATTAGAAACATTAAATCCAGTTAGCAAGGATTTGTGGGCTTTTATTTCAGACCATACAACTATAAAGTTATTATCAAATAATTACCATAACATATTATTTTCAAAGTACAAGAACATGGTCTCAATTTTAAGTTTTTTATCAAAATAACTGAGTCATATACATCAAGGTGACATACTCTGGGTCAAAATATGTGATAAAAGTATTGAAAGTTTTTTTTTTTAACAAGATTGTTTCTAAGAGACTGAAATGATGAACTGAAAGAGAAAAAGTAAAATAAGTACCCAATTACAAATTCAGATAAATTAAAAGTATTTGTTATTAAAACATTTAAATATTCTGCTTTTCAAGTAATCTGATGCAGTCAGTCCATATGGCTAGCAGGTAAAAAGAGCAGGTACTATCACACATTTAGGATTTCGTCAAAAGGACTGTGATTCAAACCCACCACTCCTGCTCCATAAGGGGAAAAAATGAGGTAGGCTGCCTCTATAAAGATGTCAAACCTTAGAAACCCTATAAAGCAGTTCTACTCTGTCACAGTGAGTCAAAATCAACTTGATGGCATTGTTTTCGTTTTTGGTTTATGGAAACCTTGCTGATAACTGATTAAAGGTGCTAGACATTCCTTGTTTCTAGTTGTTAATATTTTATTACAAATAACATAAAACTAAAATAAAAGATTATGTAAGTTTTGTCACTGTTTTTGCCATCAGAGCTGATCTGGACTCAAGGTGACCTCATATGTACCAAGCAGAACTGCTCCAAGGGTTTTCAAAACTGAGGTACTGGAAATCCTGTATTCCAGAGAGCCTCTGGGTGGGTCTGAACTACTAACCTTTGAGACAGTAATCCAGGATTTAACTGTTAGTAATTCAGAGAGATATTTTATACACACACCTCTATATATATATATACACATATATGCATGTTCTTCTGAAATCAATATTTCGTTTTATTATCTCTCATACTTAAATTCTTAAATTCTAGAATTTGAAACTTCCTTTAATACACTCCTGGAGGAACAGGTATTTTAGAGATAGCTGGGAAATATTCAACAATAGAAATGTTGTTAAATCTACTATCACTTTTCCCTCCATTATTCTATTATAATAACTGAACACCTGAAAATATCTTTGCTATATTGCAAAACCTACTAACAATAGAGTAAATATTAAAAATAAGCTTTAATAAGATAACAAATTAAGAGTATGAATGAGTATGGACTAAATTCTAAAGACAGCATTTAACATGAGAGGAAATAAAAAGAAAATAAAACCAGTAAAGATGTTTTCTATAAAGGACTAGGAAGGAAATGAGATTTTTTTTTGAGAAGAAATAGTACATACCATATACAAATCCAGAAATGTTAAAACAAAAATGACAATCAGAATATTTTTGAAGGCATACAGATATCATCATGTAGAAGATAATGTGTTTTAAAGCAAAGAAGCATCATACATAAAATAGAATATTTATTTTATGTTGCCACACCTCAATATAAAATCCTGTTGGCAGAACACGATGCTTTCTTTAGTGAAGTACAGTTCACACTGCCCAGGCGCAAATTGAAAAGTGAGTGGCAACAAATATGCCTATTTAAGAAGTATTTAAAAGAAGATAAAATCACTCAATTCTTATTCTACCCAGATACAGCTAAACAAATATTAGAGATGACAAATAAAAATTTCCTAGACATATTATAAAAATTATAGCACTATGCAATTAGATTTAAATTTCTGAACAAAGCCAGTCCCCATGTTACAAATAAGACCCATTCTGAACTGTGCTTTTAAATTTTATAGGTAAATCTGAACAGATGTATATGTTCCATTATTTTAGTGAAAGAAAGGCTCAAAATCTTTTAAATTATTGAAATCTGTACAGTGCAGCAAGTGAAAATTATTGTGGTGAAGAATCTGTTTCACAGTGAGGGCAATTTCTACATAATAAAACATGATTGTCTGGTGTCCTAGTGTCAAGACGCTGCACTGCAATCCCAGAGGTACGCGGTTCAAATCCACCAGATGCTCTGCTGGAGGAGGGAGCAATCTCCTCCTATACCAGTCAGATCTGATTTGATGGTACATGTAAAAAAAAACAAAAATAACCCCAACAATAAAATAATAATATAATAAAAATAAAAAAAGAAACAATTGTGTTACATATAAAAAACAAACCCAAAAAATGTGATTGTGACTGGAAACAGCACAGCCTTGTGTGAAACATAATGTATATAAACTTTGTGAGCAAACCAATTAAAAATATAAAATAGAATGTATATGAATATATGAAACACAACTTAAATGAAAGACTGTATAAAACACAATGTGTATGAATGAAATATAATGTAAGGAATTATTATATGAAAACAAAAAATTATTTAAAAAAAAATCAAAACACCCCCCCCCCCCAAAAAAAATGGTGATGCAGGCTCAAACATGGAAGACAACCCTGCCCCTTTTAACTTGTGTTACTCTCTGTGGTCCTGCCAATAATCTAATCTCAATAATCAAGCTCCTAAAAGTACTTATGCCCTCTTCCAAGTCTCCCATTCCAAGGCAATGGCCTGCCATTTCTGTCATTCTGGTTGCCATGAATAATCATCTAAATTGCAAAACTTCAAGTCCATGTTTATTTCACATGACAGAACTGGTACAAATGGTTTGAAGCCCCACTGGAGTGCAAGTAAGAAGACCTGTAACTCAAACATGTTCACTACAACTTTACTTGAGCTAGTGTAGTAATGACAGCATATGCTTTACTTTCACTTTCATAATTTACTTAGTATATAAACGGTGCCTTTCTCTTCCTGATTCATGGATAAATGTTAATAATCTTCAAGGTAGAACCAAAATCTCTCTTCAAAGTTTATAAATTGGTATTCTATTCAAACATTTTCTTTTATAACAATTAATTGCAATCCCTATATTATACTTGTGTCTTCTTTCTTCTCCCCGTGACTCTCTTTTTCCATCTATCCCCCCCTTTGCTATTCATTAATCTTGTATGGCTGATTAGTCTAAGGATTAAATGCTGTTTACTTCAGTGACCTGTGAGCAATTTGGCTGAAAAGTTCAGTCACATGCGTAAGTTTAGTTATACTCTTCAAGGTGACTATGAGCCACTGTTTGAAGAGTTGCACCAGTCTTGACCAGGCTTGCAATTTCATGATTTTTTATTTTTTTCCTCACTCCATGATCCTCTACTGGGATCCCTTTCAGACATATCAGCAGTGGTACATAGGCACCACTTAGTTCTAGTCTCTGTATCATAGAAGTTTAAGTCTACATGATCCAATGGTCCTCTAGACTACATGTTCCAATGTGTCTTTGAGGTGTCTTCAATCTTCATTGTTCCAGACAGGGAGAGACTAATAGTTGTACCTTAGATGGCTACTTGCAAACTTTTCTATCCATACTACTTTCCCAAATAGAATGGAGAACATTGTCTTTGTAGACTATGTCATACCAGTTGACATTGATATATTCTAAGACTATGGTCCTGAGGCTCCTGGATCAGGACCCTATTCCCTCAGGGTGTATGGTTCATAACTTTGTCCCCTGTTGACTCTACTATATTAAAAGATATGTTCACAGCATATATAAGACCATTTATTGTGTTTACCCTTTCTGTCATCTCCTTTTCAAGTCTTCCCTTTCGTTACTGATACTGTGTTAATTACTCCATAACTGTCTATCTTCACTCTACTCTCCATTATCTACTTATTATTTCCTCCTCTACTCTTCTAAACTACTTTTTTAATATATTATCTAGTTACCGAATCCCCCCTCCATTTTCACTCTCTCAACAACTTTTCAATAAAAGTAAGCAAAGACTAAGAATTTCTTACAACTTACCTATTATAATACCGGCCTCCCATCATAAACTGATTATTTGGTGTTGGGCATATTTTGAATCTCTGAATATTTTCATTGGTTCGAAAATAAAGTGAATAGTCACCAGGAGTATTATCTGAAGGCCTCACAAGAAAACTGCAGACCTGGCCAACTGTAAAAATGAAATTGTTACTTTTATTCTTTAATTATCGAATTAGCAAAACAGTAATTAAAAAAATATAAAGTACATTTAAAAGTTATTAAACAATTTAACTGCAAACTATACTCAACAGTCATAACCACATGTAAATTTTTAAAAAGAACTTATTAGGGAGCTCTGGTGGCCTAGTGGCAAGAATCTCAAAGGCACGCAGCTCAAAGCCACCAACTGCTCTGTAGGAGAAGGATGGACTTTCTCCTTCTCTGTGATTAACTGCCTCTGAAAATCCGCTGGAGGGTCTGCTATGGGTCTGTTCCGACTCTAAGATACACAAAAACAACGTTTTGGTGTTTATTGTTTGTGTGGTGGTTGTGTTTTTGTTTACCCACATTTTCTAGTTTACAATTCACAACTATCAAAAAGTTTGTTCCTGTATCCCCAGCATATCTTACTAGTTTCATTACATAGTGTGCAGGGCAGGATTAAGTAATAAAAACTTCCAGTCAACTGTGTCTGTACCTGTCATACCTTGAGAAGAATCATTTAGCCACAATTAAGAGATATTAGCTTCAACAATCTATTTGTAAATCTCATTAACAAGCAAATGGACTAAAATTCCTTTTACTTAGGATTACTATCTTATCATTGTCTCCAATTAATCATTATAAATCAGTAAGTAATAAAAGAGAATATACTTAGAATAAGAGTATGCTTATGAAGGCATACTCAAAATAAGTAAACTGTGTACATTCTCATTAGTAAAATTGATTATTTATGTACTTATTTTCACTCAGTAGGTATGATTTTTAAAAGTAAAATTGTATGACATATTGTCATATTTCTTTTAGAAAGAGTTCTCTGGTATCTTCAATAAGCAGTGAATCCTAACATTAAGGGAGCTCTGGTTATGTAACCTATATAGTTGCTGTACTAATTCAAAGGCTACATCACAAACTGCTTCAAGAAAGAAAGATAGGCAGTATTTCTTGCAAGACTTATAGCCTGGGAAACTCTCTGGAGTTTAGGCAGATCAGCTAGGAATGACAGAATTTGAGCGTGCCTATTTTTCATGTAAATTATTAATATTTCCAACCATACAGTCAAAGCAATTGTTGTTGCTGTTGTTGCTATGTGCCATCGAGTTGCTTGCGACTCATAGCGACCCTATGTATAACAGCTCTAAACTCTGCTCTGTCCTGTGCCAATCTCACTGTCTCCGACACACTCATACAGATTGCCCCAGTCACCAGTCACCGAAGCAATTATTATCAAAGAAAAACAAGTTTAATCAAAAGTATTACTGAATCTTAAGTAATACATCAACTGCAGAAACTGTGTATTTCTTAATATAGACTAAAATGAAGGTGTTTTCTTGTTGTTGTTTTGTTATGTGCCGTTGAGTCGCTTGTGACTCATAGCAACCCTATGTACAACAGCCCTAAACTCTGCTCTGTCCTGTGCCAATCAGTGTTTTCTTAGACAGTATAACCAACCCTGATAAGAACCGGAGAAAATCTTTACATTTCTTCTTGAATGTCAGATAGAAATTACATGCAATATTGTATGTATGCTTATGTGTATTGTTCTGAAGAAATAATCAAGAGACTCTTAAAAGGGTACATAATCTAAAGAAAAGAGAGAGAACCTCAAATATGTCATGGTTAAGCTTATATTTCTGAACTTTTAAGTCCAAAGCTTACTATTAAATCACTTACTAAAATCACTAATTTTGTCCTATTTTGAAAGCTGACTGTAAGCCATTTTGATCTCTATTGGTATATATACACTAATATATCGCACAAATATATTTATTAATCCATCTATCCACCACACAGCATTATCCTGTTCTTTATTTCAGTGTATCTTTAACCTGTACTCTGCAATAAAATTAAGCACTTTTAAAATTACCTGAAATATTTTACATTTTCATTTATTACATTAAGATGAAACATTGTTATAATTAAAAATAATTTAGATAATATAAATCCTAACAATCATTACAACATACTAAAATTTTCAATCACTTGTCATATTTGGAATTAAATTCATTCAGTCTTAAGTATTTAAAAAGAACAAACAATCTAATTACAGTTTTATTTTAAAACAATACAACCAATATAAGCTCATTTTTTTGTGTGTGAAATTAGAGTTTAAGAAGTATAAAGTGTAGGTCCAACTATGCCATTTCAGAAGTACACAAAGATAAATGAATGCACATATGTTTGCAGCAGCTGTATAGCAAAAGATTGAAAACAAAATACTGTTCCTCTATAGAGCATTGATAAATATAAGTATAAACCAAAAAATCAAATCACTGCTGCTGTCAAGCTGACTAACTCAAAGCAACTGTCCATCTGATTTCCAAGTCTATATAAATCTATATGGCAGGAGGCAGTCCATCTTTCTCCTATGGAGGTGGTGGATTCACACTACTAATCTGTTGGCTAGCATTGCAACACATAACAGATATTTTAAATATAGTGTTTAATGTAATGGAAATTTCTGTAGCCACTAAAAATAATACTGAAAATTTCTATATTCCTATCTGTAAATATCTCCCACAAGATACAAACAAAAAACTTGTAGAAATATATAGATCAATCAATCAACTAATATTGCTTCTCAGTAAAAGAATAAATATCTGGGATAAAAAGGTAACACAGTTCACTTAATTTCATACTATACACATATTTTCAACTGAAAACAAAGAAAAATACTAGTTTGTTACTGCCAGGCAAGACATTAGAAAGAACAAGTGAACACAAAAATAAATACCTGTCATTAGTAAATTGTAAGCTTCTTGTTTAGAAATCTTCCCATGGAACCATCTTAAAAAGAGAACAAATTAGAGATGTAACTCAAAAGGGACTTTTTGTTTTTGTTTCTTTTTTGCTATTATGTGATCAAAATGAAAACAACCAACATGTTAAATTCAATTCAAGCTGACATGAATAATTACAATGAAATTTATTATAAACTGTCTTATTCTTGTTATATTTGTGGTTACAGGTGTGCATTACTTAACATCTACAATAAGTTCTGTAAAATAAGACCTTATACAATTTGAATGTGGTATGAATGCCACATTCTATAACTGCAGTTCCTAGACAATGCATAGTTGAATTCTTGTAAAACCTATCATATTAAAACCTTAGGGGATCCAACTGAGCAAAGTCAAAGAACAGTATCCCCTGGACACAGGAGGCAAGCCCAGCCTTCTTAGGTGTATGGCTGGGGAAGTTGAAGAGCCACCTGTACAAGACATTCCTGTGGGTGCAGGAATTATAGATGGAGATCAAGGACATTGTTCCCACAACCCCACTGGCGTGGAAGCTTTCTGATCACGTGCTGGCACTGCCTAGAACCTAGATTGCTCATGGACAAGAAGCCACAGCACTGTTTCATGCTGGAAGAAAAGGTTGTACTCTGTTTAATGATAGGTAGTTGAAGCCAGAACAGAAAGAAGAGGTGTAGTGGGGATTACTGAACACTGCTTGTTCACTCTAGAAACTTCTTGTCCGTTATCATTACCTACTGTTATTAAAGATTGAGACTCAAAGGTATTCTATTGGTTTCTGAGGTTGTAAATCTTTGGGAAACTACCCATTTTTCTCCTGTGGATCCTAATAGTCAAGCTGCTCATCTATAAGTTCAAAGTGCAACAGAAAGCAATACTCCACCAGAATTCCTTACTTAAAATCACTGGGATAAATACTAAACAAAGGACAACTTTTTTTCTGGAGAGAAAAAGAGTATCCTATGGGATCAGATATTGCCCAGCTGAACATCAACGAATGCATATTTATTTTCTAAACACATTGTTGTTAGGGGTCCTCAAAACAAGTAAGACTCATAGCAATCCTATGAATAATTCTGTTCTATGCTGTGCCATCCTCACACTTCTTGCCATAGTAGAGCCCACTGCAGCAGCAGTCACATGGCAATCCACCTGGTCAAGGGTCTTCCTCTCCTCCAACAACCCTTCACCTTTTTGAGCATCACGTCCCTCTCTAAGGAATAGCCCCTCTTCATAAACATGCCCACAGTACGTGAGGTGAAGCCTCATCATCTTTGCCACAAAAGAGCACTCTGGGTACACCTTTTCCAAGGCATATTTGGTTTTTTTGGCAGCAAATGGAATATTCAGCGCTCTTCAACAATACAACTCAGAGTCCTCAATTCTTCTCCTCTCATCCTTATTCACTAGTCAGCTCTCTGATACATAGCAAGTGATAGGACAGACCATGGCCTGAATCAGACACACCTTAGTCCTGAAATTGACATCATTACTCAACACTTTGGAGAGATGCCCAACTGCAGACTTTTGTGTTTTTTTTTAAATTTTTAGTTTTTTAATTTTTTATTATTA